TCTTACTTTTGGAGTGCTACTGCTCAGTCCTTGGCCTTCCTGTCTCTGCACAGTCTTGGTGATCTTCTCTGGTCTCTGGTCTCAAGGTTTTAAATACCATCTACAGACCATCAACTACAAATTCATACCTTCAACTCAGACCTCTATCCGGGCTCATTCACCCAACTTCCCACTTCACAGTTCCACTTGGGTGTCCAACAGACAACTCGAAGTCCTGTCCCAAAATCAGCTCCTGACCCCACGCTACCCTCTGACATGTTCTCCCTGCCGCCTTCCTCATCGCAGGTGAGAGCACTTTCACCCTTGAGGTGATCAGGCAGAATTCCAGGCGTCACCCTCCACTCCCTTGCTCTCTCACCACACATCTTCTCTAAGAGCAAACACTGTGGTTCTACCTTCAGGACAGTTTCAGCCCCGATCTCACCCCATCCCCTCATCATTCCCCTCTGGTCTAAGTGAAGCACCATGATCTCTCACCTGAACTGGTACAATCACCTCCCAACTGGTCTTCTGGGTCCCCACACCTTATGGTGGATTCTCAACCCAGAAACTGGTTATTCTTTTAAAATGAAAGTCAGGTAAGCTCACTCCTCTGTTGAAAGTCTTACTGAATTGCCTTAGAATAAAAGGAAATCCTTACAATAGACTTCCTCTCTCCTCTGCTGTTTGAGCTCCAGCCACACTGGCCTCTTGCTGTTCTTGGACACACCACGCACACTCCCACTTCCACTCCTTTGTGCTGCCTGTTCCTTCCATTCAATTTAGTCTTCCCGCAGATATCTGCAAGTCTAACCTTCTCACCTCCTTCAAGCCTTTCTTCAAACGTCACCAATCCAGGGAGGTCTTTCTCCAACCCCAACCACCAACCACCCCACTTAAAACTGCAACCTGACTCCTAACCCCCAGCACTCCAGATCCCACACCCAGCTCCACTTCTTCCCCAGCACTTGCCTTGTCCTAATGAATGACATCATCTCCTTATTTCTTACATTGATTATCTCTCTTCCCAGGCTTTCCTGCAAGCTCTAGGAAGGAGGATGCTCGCCAGCAATTCTTCAGTAATAGAAGGGATGTTTGTTTTGGTCACTAAGGTATGCCAAGTCCAAGAGAGTGCTGAGCACAGGGCTAGCCATCACGTATTTGTTGAATGAATGAATACAGTAAATTTAGGATAAAGTTGGATATTATATCGCAATAAATAGATAAATTAATATTTCATATCATTGTTAGTAAGAGAATTCTATTTCAGATTTTGGGAACACACAATATCTAATGACTTAACCATTTCAAATAATAATTGTAAACACCTGAACCTTATAATCCTGGCTTTCAGGGGACTGTAGAAAATGTTTTCTATTTCAGTAAAGCAAATTACTGGCATTAATGATCACTGTCTGCTCTGAAGAATTATTTCCAGTCATTTCTTATCTGTTATAGAGATGATAATTATCTAAGTATAAAAATAGTTGAATATTATTACCCATTTTCTTAATATTTCTCTTCCACAGAGAAAAGTGGCTAAGATATTATTAAAAATGTATTATCATCCTAAGTAAAAAAAAAAAAAAAATAGCAGTTACTTTCCTAAGTAAAAAAAAAAAAAAAAGCAGTTACTTTCTTTTCTAAATATTCAGTCTTTGATGCACAGTACATTATTGAATAAAAATGATACTTACACATCTTGAAATTCTTCTAGAGTTTTTTGTGGTGTAAACACATTTAACAAACTAATTATCTGAAAAGAGAAAATTATTTGAACCTCAGAATTACAGATGACTCTAAAAATTAAGTTTAACATTAACATATCAAAAATGGGGGGGAAATCACAGCAGAGCTCAGTATTTATTATTGCTATTGTTTTTACCAAAAACATATTACATGGTATTTGAAAAAAGTTAAATGATTAGGATTCTTACTTTGAAAATAAGATGTACTTTTCATAACGTCACTTCTGTGTGTTCCTCGTAATTTATTATTAAAGAATTCTAACATTTAATGTCTTTCTAACTCTGAACATAAAAAAGTAGAAATGGGGGAAATAAAACCCACGCTAAATAAAAGCAATATGTTAACTCTGAAAACTTAAATTTTATGTACAAATTTCTAAAAAAGTTTTAAAATATGAAGGCTAAGCTTGCATTTTTGGTATGATAAAGATGAAACGCCTCGTAGCATTATCTATTTACTTAAAGAGAGTTCTAGAATGGACCCCACTGTAGGCTTTGGTCTTGCAGTCTAAGGCTGCTTGAGCATCAAACACACATCCTCAATCATTTCAAATGACTGAGGGAAAGAGAAATGATTCAGTATATAGACAGAACTGGGGTGGCTGGCTAGCCAAGGAAAAAATAAAACTGGATCAACACTTCAATCTTTATTTATATCAAGATAAACTTGGAATGGAACAAATATTTAAATCTAAAACATGAAACCATAAAACATTAAAATATGGATAAACATTTATATAATCCTGGTTAGAAAAGCCTTTCTAAGCATGACAGAAAACAGAGGAGATTTGATTCCATTAAACCAAAACCAAAATCAACCCAACAAAAATAAAACCAGTGAAAACAACCTAAATAAGGCCAAGGGGAAAAGAAGTGAGGTTGACAGCTCTAACACACAAAAGATCTTTTGTAAATGCATAAGGAAGAGACCAACAGTTCAAGAGAAAAATAGACCAAGGCCATAGAATACAAATTGTCAAGAAATAAAAATAAATGGCTAATAGAGATATGGAAAGAAATTCAACCTCACAAATAATATTTCATTTGTCAACTGTCAGACTGGTAAAGTAAGACATAGGCTCAACAGTATGTAGTGCAGGGGAATTTTGAAACAGAGGCATTCTCAGATACTCTTAATGAAAGCATAAAACGGACAGTCTTCCTTGAGGTCAATTTGTCAGCATGTATTAAAGTCAGAAGTGTGCATACTCTTTGACCCAACAATCTTGGCCAAAAAATTCAGCTGGACAATGTGTACAGATGCGTGTAAAACAGTGATGGCGAACCTATGACACGCGTGTCAGAGGTGACACGCGAACTCATTTTTTTGGTTGATTTTTCTTTGTTAAATGGCATTTAAATATATAAAATAAATATCAAAAATATAAGTCTTTGTTTTACTATGGTTGCAAATATCAAAAAATTCTATATGTGACACGGCACCAGAGTTAAGTTAGGGTTTTTCAAAATGCTGACACACCGAGCTCAAAAGGTTCGCCATCACTGGTGTAGAAGGATGTTCACTGCAGTACTGTTTATAATAGGGAAAAACTGGAGACCACCTTCAGGGATCCTCAAACTTTTTAAACAGGGGGCCAGTTCACTGTCCCTCAGACTGTTGGAGGGCCAGACTATAGTTTAAAAAAAACTATGAACAAATTCCTATGCACACAGCGGCAGCAAAAACACCTGGCGGGCCGGATAAATGTTTTCGGTGGGCCGCATGTGGCCCCCGGGCCATAGTTTGAGGACCCCTCAAAGTATTCAATAATAGGTGATTGGTCAAATAAATTACTGTGCATCTGTGCTATGCAGCTATTTTTAAAATGGATTATATCCATGTTCCTAATGTGTATGAGACCTAGCAACATTCCATGAGGGGAAAAGCAGGATGCATAACACAGCTGATCTTGTTTAAGTGTGTGTGTGTATGCTCACAAATGCATGAGGGTGCTCACCAAAATGTTAATGACAGTGATCTGTGGGTGGTGATCAAGGATTTTTGCTTTCTTGTTTACATTGTTTAAATTTTAAAAAATAATAACCATACTTTTTTATAACCTGAAAACCATTTTTTAAAATAAATAAGTAAAATAAAGCATGTATCGAAAAAATTAAAAACAAACTCAAAGCACAGACTCAGAAGAAAAGCTATCTGAGCTGTGCGTGCCAGAAAGACCCAGCATACATGTTAAAGCAAAGGGAGCCATAGAGAGTTAAGTGTCACCTTAATCACCACCTCCTAGTCCTAACAAAAAGAGGTCACATGGGGGCAGCTCCCAAGGCTCTTCCAGACTTAACATTTGATGGTTTTCTAATGTGGTAAGGTTATAAAAGAATGCTCAGGCACCAGTAATGGAATATAAACATTTTCTAGAGATACTTTTTCTCCTTAAAATTTACAGTGCTTTGATTTCTGTGGAGATGCCAAGCACAGCTATCATAAATATAACATCATCTAATAACATTTATTTAAAACTGAAATGTCTGTCTTATAAGGTAAAAAGTTACTTATAGAATGATGTTTTTCTTAAAAATATTTAGCTGTTTCTCAATTTGCTAGGTCAGTACTGATATCACCTTACAGAAGCAGGGTTAACGGACATTCCTATCCCTGCTGAGTGACCTAAGTTCCTATGGACCATAATGCCTCTTGCTGATTTTAATTTCCCAAATGTTGAGAAGAATTTTATCAATAAAATATAACCATTTAAATAGTTATTTTAATCATTAGGTTACCCTAGGTCTGAACTCAGGGTGACCCACAAGATTATCGTGTCACTGACAACGTTCAAATATGCTGAGGAAACAGAGACATAACTCACATTTTTATGATTGACACATTTCAGGAGCACGAGTTCACGATAAGCTCTCTTTGCGTGGGTTTGATTTTGAAAAGGCCGGCTTAGTTTCTTGACTGCAACATTTATCCCAAGAACTGTATCAAAAGCAGCGCTAAAATTAGGAAATAGAATAAGTGTATAATAAGCAACCCATTAGAGTGATTTTGGAAAATATGCAATGCAGAACGTACAAAGTACAATCCTTTTAAATGAGTAACAAACAAGGGAAAACCTTCCTGCCTGTTTCCACCTGAGGTACTTGTACCCCTGCAGAGCCAGGGGCGCTGGCTGAGGTGCAGGATGGACGGACTCCTCTGTGGAGGTGCGGACACGGCCGCTGCAGGTAGGATGGGGTTTAGCAATCCCGGGCATGTTGACTTATTAGATTAGTTGAGATTATTATATCCAGAACCAAGTAATTTAATATAGAGCATGTAACACAGGTGAAGAAATGAAATCTTCAGTTTAAATATGCCAGTAAGTTGGGGGAAAAGCCACTGGTTACCACAGGATAAAATGTAAGGATATTTTGGAGTAACACGGAGGAGGAAATAGTTGAGCTCATGGAAGAACATAATAAATCTAATTTTTGATTGAGTGTGTTTTTCCCAGACAAAAGAATCTAAAAAGAAAACAGAAGCCAAAATTTCAGCTCATGGTAAATCCCCAAGATACAAAACCCTAATGTAAACAATTGCGATGTATAAAATTCCACTAGAAATATCACATCATACTAGGGAGTAAGAATAGAATCTTCCAGAGCCTGTGTTTCCAGCATCTCAAGTTCCTAGTTGAAATTTATGGTTCATTTTCTTCCAGAAAATAGACAGAAAAAACTGAGTAGCCTGGTTGCACATTTTGAACTAATTTCAAACAAGTACGAATAGTACCATTCATGTTATTATCCTTCGGCCTCCCATCAGGGGCTCATCGCTGCTAAAGACCACCTGGAAACCCAGGCACTACTTAAAACACTGTTTCTGTTTCTTTATCCTATTCGGTTTATAACATGGCTTACACTCATTCACTCCTATGAATAATGTTTTCTGCCAAACAACCCTAACTTAATTCAACCTGTTTTTAAATTGAAGGCTGTCGATGACAGCATTTGATTAAGAATGATTAGAATCTTCATGTCACTTTGGAATTCTTTTTTTTTAATCTAATTCTGTTCACATTATGTGTACATGTTTACACATATGTAAATTCCGGTGTTCATATGTAAATGCACCATTCATGTAAATTATAAAATGTTAAAGAGAAATCTATTTGTGAAATGAATCATTAGTTAATGTACTACTACATACATGTGTATTTGTACCTATGTATATTTCTGTCTAGGAATGTGAAAAACAAACACATCTTTTTTGGCCTCAACAGTTTTTGTCCAAAATGAGCCAAACAGACCAATTCTGAGCATCTCAGCAGACACATACTTCCCCACTCATGGTTCCCACTCTAGGAGTGACTACCTTCCTGGTTTTACTTCTTGCAATTACTTTTCAACTCCAAAGAACATACTTTTATTACTACTTCCTCATTTATCAACTTTAGAAATTATCTATTCACTCCCCATTATAAAAACTGAGAATTTTGCCCTGGCCGGCTTGGCTCAGCGGACAGAGCGTCAGCCTGCGGACTGAAGGGTCCCAGGTTCGATTCTGGCTAAGGGCATGTGCCTGGGTTGTGGGCTCGATCCCCAGTGAGGGGGGGGGGCGCGGTGCAGGAGGCAGCTGATCAATGATTCTCTCTCATCATTGATATTTCTATCTCTCTCTCTTTCTCCCTTCCTCTCTGAAATCAATAAAGAAATATATTTTTTAAAAAAACACTGAGAATTTAGTCACTTATTGGAAACCTCAACTCCTCCCAGTTTTTTGCTCTCATGTTACCTTTCCCTTGATTACCCATGTAACTTTAAATAACATGTCAACACTTCTGCTCCATCAACTTCCGAAGGCCCCTCTTCACTCCCAGTATGTAAAATGAGATTATTATATTCGTGTCCTTTACCCTCCAGCTCTCTCCTCTCTTCCCTCCAAACTTCTGTCTTATGCGGCAAAGTCTGATAACACATCTCTATGATTTCTACAACTAAGTCTTCTGTGTTTCTTACTTGGGATGTGACTAGAAGTTGAAAATCAAGACAGAGTATATGCATATAAGTATTACTGACTGCAGAGCTGGGATTACATTTCATTTTCTAAAGAGCACATGACTTGCTGCTGGTCATAAAAGAGTGAGATTGTTTCCAGCATCGAGGTCAAATGGATCTCTTTTCTTATTATCCATCAATTGCTCAAACATCATGTCCTTTTAAATGTGTTTTATACTTAGATTGTGAACTTTTCTACTGTAAGTTTCTAATACATGTGTTTTTTCCTTATTAAGAAAGAAAAACATACCTTTTATAGCCTATTACCAGTACTTCCTACCTTATTACTCACATTATCTGTTGTTTGGAATCTATTCCATTCTTTCTGAAGACATTTTCTTGGAGTTTCTTTCAAGGTCTGCTGCACAGCTATCACCCTGGGACTTCTCAATGACCTCCATTGTTTCTTGTGTTACATGTTGTGTTCTCTTTCTTAGAGAACATCCTCAAGAAATTTCCTCAGGAAAAGTGTATGGGAGATAATCTTCCTCTGCCCTTATCCTTGATAGCTTGTCTTCTAAAACCAAAATCAATTTTCTCTGGGAACTCCCCTGATTTCCAACGTTAAATGCTGTTGGAGACAAGACTTATGCCTGTCTGATATCATTCCTTTGCTTCCTTTTTTGTTCCTCAACTCAATGATTTATCACAAAGAGCATATTTTGTCAGCATTCCTAAAGCGCCCCACACCTCCTACTAATCACTGTCCCTCCTGCCCCCCTAACTGCTTTGACTTTTATGATCATCACTTCTTGCTTTTTACCAGTTAAACATGCATCTTTGAGCCCCACCCAATGGTTTATTTTTGCCTGGATTTTGAAATCATCTGTGTCTGACTTCTTTCACTCAACATTATATTTGTGAGATTCATCCATTGCTGCTTTGCATAGCTATAATTCATTCTGTGTCGTTGCTGTATATTCCTTTACATGACTATATGACATACTGCTGCTGTTTTCAATTTGCAAGGAATTACAAAAAACAGTCATAAACATTTCATACATGGCTCTGGGCCCCTATGCATGCATTTCTGATGAGTAGACAGCTAACGTGGGACTGCATATATTTTATTTTAGTAGATAACACCAAGCTATTTTTCAAAGTGGTTCGTTCTACCAGTTTCTAGGCATTTCATTATTATTTTTCTGTATATTGATCCTGTGTCCTACAATGGAGCTAATCCCAAGAGCTCTTTAGAAGCAGAGTTTGTTCTGGCTGGTGAGAAGAGGGTCAGAAAGATTTGACTCTTGAGAAGGACTAGATGTGACACGTGAGAAGGAATGTGGGGGTCTCTAGGAGCAGAGTGGCCCCTGGCTGACAGACAGCAAGGGAATGGGGGCTTTAGGCCTGCAGCTGCCACAAACTGGGTTCTGCCAATAACCTGAAAGCGCCTGGAAGCAGACTCTTCCCCAGAGCCTGCAGATTACAGCCCAGGCCAGCTGACATGTTCAGCTTGTGTGATGCTGAGCAGAGAACCTGGGCAAGCCCATACAGATTTCTGATCTATAGAATTATGAGATTATCAATGGGTGTTGTTTTAAACCACAAGTTTGTGGTAATTTGTTATGTAGCAATAGAAAACTAAAACACCTTCTCTTACGTACTTTTCTACCCTTTTCTCTCTCCAGGCTTTACTCTATTTTTTTCTAACCGACCGTCCAGACCACTAATTCTCTCTTCCGTTATGTCTAATATGCTGTTAAGCCTATCCATTAACTTCATAATTCAATTACTGTATCTTACAGTTCTAGAATTTCTATTAAGTTTTTTTTAAGTTTTCCGTTTCCCACCAAAATTTGATCATCTTGCCTTTTACCATCGTGAACATAACATCATCGCTATTTTAAAGTTTGGATCCAATAACATCAGGACCCCCCGTGGATCTGGTTCTTTTCTCTGTGCTGTTGTCTAATCTCCTTGTCTGACTAGTTGTCTTTGATTGTGTGCTGAAGCTCGCACTTAGGAAACTGTTTGCTAGATATAAGTTGATATGCAGTATGATGCTATCTTCCTCCAGAGAGAATTTACATTTACTCCTGCTGGGTACCTGGGGGCACTTAGCAATTGGAGGCCACCTCAAGTTCAAGTTCACAAGTGAGATGATTTGAAGCTGAGTGGGTACCCGCAAGTGCCTCTTTCTCTCTGGTTCATTCTTATTTCTAGGATGCAGCCCTTTACTGGTCCCAATTCAAAGCAAAGGAAGTTCATGGAACCCCTTGAGAGGACCCCACACTCAAATCCTGTCCCCACGCCACACAGACAGTCCAAAGCACTACTCAATCTCTCAGCTGCCCACGGCCACATTTTCAAATGCCCTCAAGGGAAAGACAGCCCCAAATCCTGGCTCCCCTCTTTAGACTTCTGTCCTTCCACAAATCCTGGCCTCATAATTCTTCACTCACCTACACACTCTCTAGGGCAAATGCTGAACACTGGGGTTGGAGTGAGTATGTTGAGAGCCAACTGACACAACTGTTTCAGAGACGCACTTTTAATTAACACCCCTATTTCCAGCCACCCGTTTCATCTTCATTCTCTGTATCTGTCGTCACTATACCCACAGTCTCTTTGGTGCTCTACTACAGACAGGTTCTCTTCCTTGTTGCAAATGTCCCATCCACTTATTCTCTCTTCCTCTGCTCTGTTTTATCTGCATCAAGTTTCCAATTACTTTTCATATTTCAGAAACTTGTTAAAGGCTCTCACCCACCGATTACTGTCCTCTTGTTCTCTTTGTTTAGGTGTGTAATCCACTATCTTAAATCAGAAGTTCCAAACCACTCATTTTAGGGGTGAAACTATTAAAGCCCCAAAGGACACATTATTTACCAAGGTCACCAAAAACTACCACTATGAGGATCAGAGCTAGATTTAGAGCTCAAGTCTCTTGAATCACAGCCTTTCTATGCCTTATACCATACATCTTCTTTATCACAGAAATTCTATTATTGTTTTTA